ATGCTTAGTGATGACCTTCAGGAGGAGCTGTTCCATCACCTTTTCCGGGATGGAGGGCAGGCTGACAGGCCTGTAGTTTCCTGGCTCCTCCTTCTTGCCCTTTTGGAAGACGGGGGTGACATTGGCTTTCTTCCAGTCCTCAGGCACCTCTCCCTCAACCAAGGGAGAGTCTTCCTTTCTCCAGACTTCCTCTCTTGTCCCCAGGGTCTGGAATGCCTGAGGACTGGCCTTAGCAGTGAAGACTGAAGCAAAGGCAGCATTCAATAACTCTGCCTTCTCTGTATCCTTCATTATGACGGCACCCACCCCATTCAGCAGCGGGCCCATATTTTCCCTAGTCTTCCTTTTGCTATTGATGTATTTGAAGAAGCCCTTCTTGTTGTGAGACTGGAGAGTATCTGCAGTTTAAAATTCATCCTCCAAAGAAGCAGCAAAAAGTTATTACCAAAGTATTGTGTAACTATTAAGCTATATAATGACACTGCTTTTCAAATATTAACTTCATGTAGTTTCTGAGGAGGGCTATAGTGTAGCCGGCACAAGGCTTAGGTGGTGCAGAAAGCCACCTAAGCCAAGAGTCTGCGTCAGGGTGGTAACATGGCTCCATGTTCACCTCTCCAAAGATGCTGCAACTAAACATGCTTTGTTTGCATGTAAGCAGATGAGCTGAAGATTTGGCCTTTTCAAACCCAGCATGGGATCTGCAACCCAGGGCTAGGGCCCTGGGGCGGAGTTGTTGTTCTGCCTCCCATCTGGGGTAAAATTTCTGCAGGCTAAATTATGCTCTCGGTGCGCTCACTGGAGCGCAGGTACCTGCCTAACTGCAACTGCAGCTCGGACCTTTCCTTATGGTTAATCTTGGTCTGAATATGTTGATCTAAATGTTAGTTTAAAAATAAATTTATTTCCCAAGATCTTTCCCTGTGGAAAGTCAGTTTATGAAACTTTAATTATGCCCCCAAATTTGGCTTATCTGATAAACTCTCGGAATACTTTTAAAATGGTTTGATATAGTATGTGCAATCTGTTAGGCATTTTTGCAGGCAACATTCTATAGACATCATAATTTCAAGACTTACTGACTGTAGGAAAATCATTTAAAATTCAACTGCTTCTTTCTATTTTTATTTAATGTATAAATCAGACATAATTCATGCGTAGCTCCTTCCAGGTTTAGACATTTATTGAACACTATATATGGTTCTTAAACATTTTATGGCAGCTGTTTCAAATTTGAGAATAAAAACAGGAAAAAAAAGGAACCTCGCATTTTCACTTCTTCAATTTCTTTTGAAGGCTTAAACAAGGAAGCTTTGAATTTTCAGCTTTGAAACTGGCAGCTGAAATTAGGGCCTTACATTACTCCTGAAAACTAGGACCTGTGACCTTCAGCCCGGCACGGGACCCTCCATCACTTTGGGGCAAACGTATATTATTTAATTAACTAAAAATGCAAAAGATGATAGTGGAATTTTCCAGAAATGCTTGGCACCTAATGCTGGCACTAAATTGATGGGTACTCCCAGGAAGCCTGGGAAGTGTTTCTCCACATCTAGAGGAACTTCAGGAGCAGCCTAATTCTTCAGTCACTTTTGACGCTGTTATCATAAGACCCCACGTTTTAACTATTTATTTAAAGGTAAGTCCCCAATCTTGGAAAGCAGTGTTTCTCAGCCACTCCAGACTGGCAGTATTTTATCTAAGTCAAATAACTTTTTTCTTTTTTTGCTTTTATGGTAAATGCACAGTGATAATGGTGCCTATATAATTTGTGAATGTGTTCGGACAGAAAATGTCACCTCTGACGCCCCTGGGTTTTTACTTTTTCTTTTTTTTTTTCTTCAGACTGAATATAGTTTTCAGTGGTCTTCATGGGAGCTCATGACCCTCGCACAGAAAAAGTGTGGGTAAAAGAGTGGGTAAAACCAATGACATCTTCTGTAATCCTAGTGCCTGGCCAGCTTAACTCTTCCATCTTAACAAGGTAGGGACTTTGCATGCTATCAGTAATGCACAGCAAACTCAGCCTAAAGAGCTTAAAAGTATTACCTTATGGGAGTTTATGCTGGCTTTCAAATTTTATAAATTTGGAGTATTTGATGGGCCCAGGGTACTATGGTGAGGGAAGCTGGCTCTGAAGTGGGCACCACCTCTTTTTCCCTCTCCCCTCCAAATTCAGGACCTTGCCCTTTTACGAGAGGGTTGAGTTTTGAGATGCTTCTCAGCCCCTTCATGGCCAATCCCAGGGGCCG